TGACGTTATATTGAGTCAAAGACTTGTCTTACATTTGGTCAAGCATGTTAAAATGTACACTATTTACAACAAAGTTACAACAATTATAAAACAGCATAGAATATGTGTAAGATAAATATACATGTACAAAATATCACAGTAAAAGCTAACCTTGTCCAGTTTAGATAATAAGGAGCAAATGGTTTAGCATCATCACAGACTTGGTGATTTAAAACTTAGTAATTCTAAAACATAAATTACTACAAATAATAATAATTCGAGGTTCCTATATCCCGCTTTATCTAGTCCGTAGGTCGTCTCAAAGCGGTTTACAAATTATTATTCGTGGTTATAGGGTCATGGAACCAGCCATTATCTAACTTAACTCCCTGGTGAGCATACAGCCGGTGCTACTATTTTGGCGCTCACAGCTAGCATTCTATAAGTCTAGCACTGCCCAACCACGTACTCATTTACAGTTGAGTAGACTGGAAAAGGCGGAATAAAGTATATTCCTCAAAGACACAACACAGTACCATGCCGTGACTCGAACCCGCAACCTTTCGGTCTCGAGCCCGGCGTCCTACCATACCATGCTTCCTATAACGCTTGCATGTCACACAAGTGTTACTTAAGGTTAAAGCACTATAATAGTCGAATATACATACAATACTTATATAGCAAAAAGTAAAATTAAAAAGAATATTCACTAAGTAGTGTGCATAAAAAGTTGCAATGAAGTCGATGTGCTCAAAGTAATCTTTTAATAGAATGTTATTAAATTGTTTCTAAAAGTAACTAGTCTTGCCCAAAACATTCCAGTGGTTGGGGGTCATTCTACCCATTGGTCAGTTTGAGTCTTCTCCTCAACATATATATATATATATGTATAAATTAAGCTAATAAGAATAATGTTGAATATATGATTGTGAGATTGTACGTATAAAAATGTTTGGTACATTTCTTAAACGATAAGACACTTTTGCAGTGTTGCTCATATGAAGGTAAATTATTACAAATGTAAGGACCTTGATTTGAAAATGCCCTTTTAAAAAATATTTGTTTAACAATTTTGTATATATCATTCATTTTGAGTAGAGGATCTAGTAGCTCTTAATTGGATGTCTGTGGTTAAAGTAAAATTATAAAAGTAATTAGGAGCCATGTGGTTAAGGATTTTGTACATACGAATAGCATGGTTGTAAGAAATTCGTTTTGTGAAAGGCAGCCACTTAAGTTTGTTGAACATTTCCTTGAAAAGTGTAAACAATCGCATATCAATATAACTCTGGCGGTTTTTTCAAGTTTTTCAATTTGGTTTTGGGAGGCATTTCCCCAAATATTTCAACAGTAATCAAAGTGAAGATTTGTAAAACAATTGTAAAATATGACATAGATGACTTGGCTAAATAAATCAAAAAGACGTATTTCTTAAAATATCTACAATTTATTTGTGCCATGTTAAACAGCCATTGTCATTACACCATTTCTGAATTTGATTCGCATCTTCGTTTAAGTTGGTATTCATAATATCAACATATCATCGGAATACATATTCATTGATGCGTTGTATGTGGCAAGGGGTAAATCATTATATGATGAACAATAAAGTCCATAGTATTTATCTCTGAAGACACCGACTGCGATTGGTTGAGGATCACTTAAGGCGTTTTTGAATTCAACTCTCTGAAAACGATCTTTGATATACATTGTAGCTTGTAAAAAAAATATCAAAGTGGGAAATAAGATAATAATGTCCAAACATTTCTAACAATTCAACGAGCCCGTTCTACAATCGTATTAATATAGATAACTATATAATTCAAAATTCTTAAAATTTTACCTGTCAGTCATATATCTTTTATAAAGGTACCAAAGACTGCTAGTACCACGGTTCAGAATATCTTTTTACGTCATGGGGATGAAACAAATCTCATTTTGCTCGGCCAAGAAGGAGTGGAGGAGGGGAATCATTAACATCAAGTGACTTTTTCCCACCACCAAGAAACAGAACTTATGATATAACTTGTGCGCACGTGAGATACAACAGAGAAGAATTTACCAGAGCTCTACCTACTGACACAACGTATATAGGAATCGTGAGGGTGCCGTTCAGCAATTTCCGATCCTACATCAGATTTATTCGTCCTAAGGGCGTGCTTAATATACCAGTAGAAAATCCGGTATTTGTCTGTAAAATCTTGATTTTATGTATTTTCTACAGCTGAAAAATGATTATTATTTTTGTCTCTCATAATGGAAATTTTCTCCCATCTTCATTCTGTCGCCAAGTCACAGTAAGTTCGCAGAATGTACTCAGATATTACTCGCGCTATATCAAAGTTGTTACTGAAGAAAACTAATACTGATCTCCCAGGTAAAAAGTAAAAGGAAAGAAAGGTTGTTATCAAAAAGCATGTGTAAATGAGAAGAAAAATTAGAATACCCCAAAAGGTTTCGATGGCTAGCTGGTCGCTAAAACAATCAAACACCGGAAATGTCAAATATCAATCTAAAATATCATAAAGTTCGAATAAAAGGGGATTCGATCCTTTACACTGCCATTCTTCATACAAAACTGCAGGAACGCTTACGCTCTCTTGTTACGCGTGCCTTCTTTTCGGGGAAAGGCTTACGTCGATATAAATGTTTGGCTGTAAATTGTACATACTTCGTTAAAATCAAAGCTGGGGCCTCGGTTTTCTGGAGATGAAGACTGTGGACGGGTATTGTTGTCGCCTTCGGTCTCTGGCGGGTTTTTGTGTGTGTGGGATGTGGGGGTTTGTATGTTTGAATATGCTCAATGAGTGAATTGCGATATGGATATTCCATTTCTTCATATTTTACTCTAGTTTTGTCGATTTGACTTCAAGCTGTGGTTTGTTGTCGCTGCCCGGGTTCTCATGGATCTTCCCTTTGTTCATATTTTGCCCTAGTTTTGTCGATTTGAGTTCAAGTTGGGTAGCTATTGTTGATAGAACAAATAACATAATTTCTAAAAAGGCTTTCTGAAAAGCACCATCTGACAAGAATCTTGTTTGAGCTTCTTTCTAGCCTTTCAATGCTTGCTTCATGCAACGTATCCGGCATTCTACCTTTCAAATCGTTAGCTACAGTAGAAGCTATATAAAGAAACTACAAGCCTGAAGAAAATATTCTAATTCATCTGAGAAGTAAACTTTGGATTGGTAAATCATGATAATTTGCGACAGTATATCTTCAATATACCATTCGCAAATTTCTAATTTGGATATGAAACCCGCATGGGGATTGTTTAAGACGTTCGTGACCCCGACTTGATTATTCATGACGTCACGAAGAAAATGATTAAAAAGCGAGACCCCAAAAGGTCAGCGCAATTCCGCCTTACATTGAATATTCCTGACGTCATCAAGCAGAGTGACCAAGAATTTGAAAAAAAAATGTAAAAAATATCTTAAAATCGTCGTTTCTGTGTGTTTGTCTTGGCTGATATGAATTAGAATGGAGATAATCCTACTATATTTTGAGACAGTATAATTACGTTATACCGCCAAAAATGTCAAAATACAGTAGGGTTATTCCCTAATTTAAATGGCGTTGTATCCAAATACTCAGATTCTTGTTATAAAGAATAGTTCAGTCTCCAAGGACATTCTCCTTTCCTTAATCTATAAAACTTTAAACAGGAACCAATTGATCTGATTTCCAACACGTTTAATGCTCGACTTGTAACACTAGATAATTGGTTTTCTGAAACAGGGCTAAATCTTCTCTGGCCCGTTTTATTGTCTGATCTTGTCTGTAAGTTAATGTCAATGTCAATTAGATTATTACTTCGTTATGTTCTAAGAGCTTTTCTCTAGCGACAACACTGTTAACATAATCTAACGTTTGATTCAAAACTGCAGAAAATCCCCAGAAATTATGATAATATTTTCAGTTTTGTCAGATATGGATTTTAAATCTGGATTAACTTGATTAGTGCCGTAAATAAATATAAATATTTTTCTTTTACATCGGTGTCAGCAAAGAGTTAGGAAAAGTCTCTATAAACTTTTGTTTTTGAGCAGAACAATATCAGGCAATTAATAAAAAGTCCGAACTAAATTATATGTTGACATATTTAAAGAAATCAGACACATAATCTAACGTTGTCTAGAGAGTTTAGTTCCCCGAAACTGAAGTTAACTGCTTCCTTTCTTAACACGTTCAACATGCTTCCGCATTAACAGTTCAACGAGTCCGTCGTACATGCTTCTTAATACGGATAACTGTAAAATTATAAACTCACAAATCGTACTAGCATTCTGTACCCATAGTATGTGCAGATAATACAAATATTTATAATGTCCAAATATATGTTATTTGCAAATTACTCTAAGGCGCATGAAAAATATTTTTTACTAAATATTGCACTTTTTTACAGACCATTATTGCTGGGCTTCTGTGCATTGGTGACGACTTACAGTATAAGACGTTACATCAACTTTACCGTAGATGAGGAGAAAACAATCCGGGAACATATCTTATATCGAAAAGAAAAATCCTGGAGTCAGATCAAATACAACCTGACAGGCAATCCTGTCAATCACATAGCTTTTATAAAGGTACCAAAGGCTGCCAGTACAACGGTCCAGAATATCTTTTTACGTTATGGGGATGAAAAGAATCTCAATTTTGCTTTATCAACGGGCCATGGTGGGGGTGGGGGTGAATTGACATCACAATTCTTCTTTCCTCCACCAAAAAACAGAAGATATGATATATCGTCTACGCATGTAAAATAGAATAAAACAGACTTTAGCACAGCTCTACCTACCGATACAACGTATATAGGAATCGTAAGGGAACCATTTAGCCATTTTAGATCGTTGATCAAATTTAGACGTCCCAAATTCGTGCTAGATATGCCAGGGGAAAATCCCGTTTTGGAATATTTGTCTAGATTTGAAAAATACAGTTACAAAACGAAAAATATTTTTAAATGGTGGATTCTAATGGCACGTTACTTCGGGTTTACCGATGACTTAATTTTGACGATGGATCAAATTCTGATCCAGAAATATTTACCCAAACTGGATGAGGAAATGGACATCGTTTTAGTGTTTGAATATCTTGAAGAATCCATAGTATTGATGCGACGAATCTTAAACTGGGACCTCAGATATGTTTTACATGGTAAACTTCGCGTTAATAAGGTGGAGGATAATCGATTAAAGTTTGGGACGAATGTTGAAAAACTACATAAAAGCTGTTGTCAATTAGATTATCAACTTTATGAATTTTTTGTTCAAAAATTGAAAGAAAAATTAAAAGACCAGCCACCCGATTTTTATGATGAACTGGCCTACTTCAGAAGAACTAGAATGAAGTATGAAGACTTCTGTTTGTCCTCAATTTCTAATGACGACAACAACGCCAGTATTACATTTGAAGGCAGTGCATGGAATCGACCATTCGTCATCACATGGGAGCATTGTAAGAAACTGTATATTCACGACGTGACGTTTTTAGTTATGTTAAAAGAAAAACAACATGCAGGGTCTCCATAGTGATGTTACTAAATGTTTGAGAATTTCATGTCATTTCATTTTGTCTGAATTGTCAGCGGCTGGATTAAAATTGTTTGATGTTAAACGTTGATTGGTCATTCGAGACAAATCTGTTACATTTATGAGATGTACCCAATCCACCGCTACAGATTTTTCTGAGGACAATCAGGGCCACGTAAAATAGATAAATTAATAATAAATGTCGTTTTTCGTGTTACTAACTCGAGAGGTTGACTAAAAAATGTATTCTCGCTACTATCACTCGAAATTTCGACCTACTAAATCGGGATTAAAAATGCACTGGACAAAGGCCTCTAATTACGCGTACCTCACTTTGGGACGGTGTACGTGTACATAGTTATGATTAATGTTTCATTTAATAAAAGATTTAAACAGTGTTTTAAAAATATCATATTTTCATTGTTCTTATGTAAAACATCAATCCCATGTGTATATATTATTTCAATATACGTGACAACTTAAGGAGAAAAAGTTGAGTATATTGTTGGTGCAAACACGACTTGTACACGTGTATTTGTTGTCGCCTTCGGTCTCTCGCGGGGAAATATGTTGGGTTTTTTTGTGTGTGATGTGGTGGTTTGTATGTTTGAATATGCTCAATAGGGTGAATTGCGGTTTTGTTGTCGCTGCCCGAGTTCACATGGATTTCCCCTTTGTTCATATTTTGCCCTAGTTTTGTCGATTTGAGTTCAAGTTGTGGTTTTGTTGACACTTAGGTATTCTCTTGTCTTTTTACACTAAAATGTGTCTGTAATATATACCTAATAAATAGCGCCGCACTTTGACTAAATTAAGAATAAATAGCTGATATAAAGATAAATTAAAAAGAAATTATCAAAATTGTATTGTATAAAATCTTGCCGTTGTGTAACTGAAAACTGGCCAATTGAGTAGCTTTGGTTGAAGGAAAGGCTTTCTGAAAAGCACCATCTGACAAGAATCTTGTATGAGGTTCTTTGAAGCCTTTCAATGCTTGCTCCATTCAACGTATCCGGCATTCTACCTTTCAAATCGTTAGCTACAGTATAATCTATATAAAGAAACCACCAGCCTGAAGAAAATATTCTAATTCATCTGAGAAGTAAACTTTGGATTGGTAAATCATGATAATTTGCGAAAGTTTAACTTCAATAAACCGTTCGCAAATTTCTCATTTGCATATGAAACCCACATGGGGATTGTTTATGACGTGAATGACTTCGACTTGATTATTCATGACGTCACGAAGAATATAATTAAATAGCCTGTCCCCAAAAGGTCAGCGCAATTCCGCCTAACTTTAAATGTTCCTGACGTCACCAATCCTAAGTAGAGTGACCCAGAATTAGAAAAAAAATGTAACAATTATCTTTAAATCGTCCTTTCTGTTTGTTGGTCTTGGCTGATATGAATAAGAATGGGGATAAACCTACTATATTTTGAGAAAGTATAATCACATTATATACCACCGAAAATTTCAAAAAAAAAACAGTAGGGTTATCCCCTAATTTAAATGGCGTTGTTCGCCATATAGAAATATTTAATGCTCGACTTGTAACACTAGATAATTGGTTTTCTGAAACAGGGCTAAATCTTCTCTGGCCCGTTTTATTGTCTGATCTTGTCTGTAAGTTAATGTCAATGTCAATTAGATTATTACTTCGTTATGTTCTAAGAACTTTTCTCTAGCGACAACACTGTTAACATAATCTAACGTTTGATTCAAAACTGCAGAAAATCCCCAGAAATTATTATAATTTTTTTTACAGTTGTATCTGAAATGGATTTTAACAGTCTGGATTATCTTGATTAGTGCCGTAAATAAATATAAATATTTTCCTGTTACATCGGTGTCAGCAAAGAGTTAGGAAAAGTCTCTATAAACATTTTGAGCAAAACAACTATACAAATGTACCACGTGAATGAAATTTAAATGACTTGAATAACTGGTATAACTCTGGTCATATTCTGTATTTCCTTGATCATGTGTTTAAACCTAATTGTGGGTGTTTTGCATCTTTCCTCGTCTATCGGCCGCCAAATATCTGTCATATCGCAGAATGTACAAAGTTACGAAGTTATGACTAATACCTCTAAAATATCCTACACGTTTAAAAATGGGGATGATAACATAACATTCAAACTGTGCGGCTATCCAGATTTTCGCTTTACAATGTATATCAGGCAATTAATAAAAGTCTGAACTCAAATATAGGTTAGTATATGGAAGGAAACGTAATTGATGTGGACACACAATATAATGTTGTCTAGAGAGTTTAGTTCCCTGAAACCGAAGTTTACTGCTTCCTTTCTAAACAAGTTAAACATGCTTAAGCACTATCATTGCATATTCAACGAGTCAGTTATACATGCTTGTTAATACGGATAACTGTAAAGTTCTAAACTATAGTATACGTAGATAAGAAATATATTTATAATAACCAAATATATGTTATATATTTGCAAATTACTCTAAAGCGTTTTACAAGACATGAAAAATAGTATTCCTACAGTGAAAGTAGAAAATACTACTAAATATAGTAGTTAATAAAACGCATACAAAACAGATCTAAGTGCAAATCAGATCTTAATCCAAATAAAAGTTTACACTAAATAATGCATTATTTTACAGATCATTGTTGCTGGGCTTCTGTGCATTGGTGACGACTTACAGTATAAGACGTTACATCAACTTTACCGTAGATGAGGAGAAAACAATCCGGGAACATATCTTATATCGAAAAGAAGAATCCTGGAGTCAGATCAAATACAACCTGACAGGCAATCCTGTCAATCACATAGCTTTTATAAAGGTACCAAAGGCTGCCAGTACAACGGTCCAGAATATCTTTTTACGTTATGGGGATGAAACAAATCTCATTTTTGCTCTACCAAGGGGCCGTTTTGGGGGTGGCGATAAGTTGACATCACAATTCTTCTTTCCTCCACCAAAAAACAGAAGATATGATATATCGTGTGCGCATGTAATATACAATAGAGCAGACTTTAGCAGGGCTCTACCTACCGATACAAAATATATAGGAATCGTAAGGGAGCCGTTCAGCCATTTTCGATCCATGATCAGATTTGTGCATCCCAAATCCGTGCTAGATATGCCAGGAGAAAATCCCGTTTTGGAATATTTGTCGAGATTTGATAAATACAGGAACAAAACGAGCATTTCTGATATATTTTGCAATAAAATGGCACGTTACTTTGGGTTTACCGATGACTTAATTTTGAAGATGGATCAACCTCAGATCCGGAAGTATTTACTCAAACTGGATGAGGAAATGGACATCATATTACTATTTGAATATCTTGATGAATCTATAGTATTGATGCGTCGAATCTTAAACTGGGATCTCAGACATGTTTTATACGGTAAACTTAGGGTTAACAAGGTGGAAGATAATCGCCTAAAATTTGGAACAGACGTTGAAAAACTACATAAAAGTTATTCACAGTTAGATTATCAACTATATGATTTTTTTGCTCAAAAATTGAAAGAAAAAATAAAAGACCAGCCACCCGATTTTTATGATGAACTGGCCTACTTCAGAAAAACTAGAATGAAGTATGACAATTTCTGTTTGTTCTCAATTTCTAATGACGATAACAATGCCAGTATTACATTTGAAGGCAGTGCATGGAATCGACCATTCGTCATCACATGGGAACATTGTAAGAAACTGTATATTCACTGCGTAACGTTTTTAGATATGTTGATTGAAAAACAACCTGTAGGGTCTCCAGAGTGATGTTGTTGTATGGTTGAGAATTTCACATGTCACATGCTTATTTCATTTAGTCTTAATTGACAGGAGTTGGGGAAACATTTTTGATGGTAGACGTTGATTGGATTAAACATGACGTGCAAACAATACAAGCACTTTTTATTTGTTTTAATAGGATTAAATTTGATAAATTAATTTATTTGTTTATTGTGATCTTTTATTATTTTATAAACCTGTGAGAATATGAACATGCTATCTTAAATCAATACTATAACACTGATGTTAGTGATTGATTCTCTGAAACCATAATACACGCGTAGATTAGTGCACTTTTATCGCCGAGCGGAACGAGACGATTTACTTTCTTTGTTTAATGCTTTAGCATTTTATCCTCAAAGCCGTCTTTTTTCTGAGGGTAATTAATTGGAAAACATAGTATTGCCAATCAAAATGTGTCACTGGGCAAAATTTAGTGGGTGGGACATTTGGATGGGGTTTGGGTGGCTGTGAGGGTGGGGAATAGGATTGCGACCCTCTGGATCCCTATCTGATATGAGATACATGTAGTAAACATATCTTTCACATCTGTGTGCTATAGTAAATATATCTATAAAACATGTGTGTGATTGTAAAACATATGTTTAACCTGTTTTCCAGAGTAAAAGCATAAATAGATATCTCGGAATTTAAAGTTCGGAAATCGAAAGGAAAAAACAAATTTTGTACGTAACACTTTTGCTTGTCACGAAACGAGTACGTTGATTTTTTTTGTTTTGATTTAAACATGTTTTATTTGCAAATATACATATGGGATCAGACACAAGTTTAAAAACTTATAATCCGTCTTTTCCCATAAAACATACATGATAAAATATACATATGACCGCAAATTACTAAGGAAATACAATGATGATGAAAAATGTCAAAACTTACCTAAAAGATAAAATTTACAAAATACAGATCGTATTATATAGTGACTGTACCCGCATGGCTGTATAAAATAAAATGCATGTCCATATAACAATAGAGTGTTACATATATATAATTCATGGTCATGTATATAATAGAGTGCTATATATATAATACATGTCCATATAACAATGGAGTGCTATATATATAATGCATGTTTAAATGCTTACTGGTCGATTGATGACACGATAGATTTATAATGCCTAAAAAGGTTCAATTTATGATATAGTGAGTATAAGTGATGTACATGTGTACAAACATTTAATAATACAATAACCAACATAATAGTTAACATTGTGATGACCAATTGACACAGTAGACCGCACACCGCTTGACACATACTGGATCTCTCTACACATATTGCACCGCACCATGTAATGTCTATACTTTTGTCGGGTATGTTCCACACCATAGTTCCTGCTTGTTGTAATTCCGAGCTTGGGCTCCCTGCTGTTGTGGATGCGATCCACTGTGTCGGCGTAGTACCTCATTGCTAAGTATGACTGGTTAGTTGAATAAGATTTATATTAGTCGAAACGTTTGGAATGTCTAATAAAGTTTTGGACTAATGAAAAAAGAGTGCAGTTTTCATTCTCAGAAAACATGTCAGAACCGAACAGCAGCAGATCTGCAGATAATTCATTTAGATTTAAATAATTCGTAAGTTTATGTTTCAAGATATTTATAGAAATAACAAAATAAGGGACATTCTAACAAATACTGTTCTACATTTTCTATGGCATGAAAACATCTACATTAGGGCGACTGAATCAAATTAATACGTTTAAGATCGGCACTTAAGGAACTACATTTATACCTTTATCGTGTACGTAGGATATTTAACTTTCGGTCACCAGAGGAATAAAACTTAGGAGCACATGCTCCCTTCAAAGAAATTTTATGTCTAAATGTAGAAATTGTATCACATGATCGGGTTTGAACATCAATATTATTCCAAAGTTTTATTGCATCAGGTATACATGATCATTCAAATAAAGTTAGTCTTATTCTTGGAATTGCATAATTATTTTGATTTCGCAAATTATAATTGCTAACAGTATGTACTGGATTAGGAATACTGTTCTGTAAATAGCAAGGGGTAAGGTTATTATGTATTTTGTAAATTAATGTAAGTTTCCTGGATTTTCGACGATTGCTTAATGTTTCCCACCCAGTCTCATAATATAAACTTTGTCGACTGGTGAAAATAGGAAGCCCAGTCACAATTCTGGCAGCCTCTAACTGTAATTTCTCTAATTTATCTGAATTAATAATATTACATTCATCCCATACTTCACAAGCATATTCCAAAAGGGACCTTATGAAAACAATGTGCAATCTCGACAAAGTATCTCTATTTAAAATAAATTTAAATTTCCGTAATACTGATATGTGTTTTGAGGCTGATTTGACAATATTATTTACATGTTCTGTCCAGCTGCAGGTTTCATTTAATGTTACCCCGAGATGTTTGTGATCAGCTGAAATTTGCAATGTGTTATTAAATATTAAATTGATATTGAATTGAGTGCTAGAACAATGAAAAAGCATTACATCTGTTTTAGAGGGATTAAAATTTATATTCTATTTGTCAGCCCAGTCTTCAATTACAGCTAAGTCATGATTCATTACATGCTCTATTCGTATTGCATTGGTAGAAGAAAAAGATAGAGATGTGTCATCAGCAAACATTCTTGCAAGTGAAAGTAAATTGTCTGTAATGTCGTTAATGAATATCAAAATTAACAGAGGACCAAGGACAGAACCTTGTGGAACTCATGCATTTAAATGGCCAATAGAAGAAGAAGAATTGCCTAAAATAACCTGTTGTTTTCTGTCCAGAAGTTAGTCTTGGATCCAGGATAGGATGGTTCCTTTTATACCATAAGCATGTCATTTTATTAAAAGACCCCTGTGCCACACGCTATCAAAGGTTTTTGATATATCAAAGAAAGTCATACAGGTTTGCTGTTTATTTTCTAATGTTGGAAATATATATTATGATATATTTCGATTAACTGATAAACAGTCGAGTGCCCTTTAACAAATCCAGGTTGATATTTATATAGTAAATTATTATCTATTAAATAATTATGGCGGTATTTATGTACAACTCTTTCAAATAACTTACCTGCAGAGCTTAATAATTCCTGTTGCCTTGTTCAATTTCAAGGTTTTAAGAATATCAAGAATATCAGTTCTGGTAAATGTATTTCTTTAACTTTAAACTTTTTCAAGGAGTGGTTACTTTTGTTTTTACGAAATAAATTATGTAATCTGTTTCTTTTTTTTAATTTCAAGTCGGAGTTCGGATGTAAACCAAGATTTGTCGTTTTTCCTAATAGTTACATGTTTCATTGGAATACTGGCTTTGGCAAACTCTAAAAACATGGACGTAAATAGTTCACAGACCTCATCTAGACTAGAAGCAGTGTTTAAAACAACGTTCCATGGAAAAGATTTAATCAAATTATTAAATGAAACAAAATTGGCATCTTTATAAACCCAAACATTACGTTTTAAAGTATTAGATATGGTTTGTGGTAGTTCTAATACAGCGACAGTGTGGCGGAATGGTCACTAATTTCATTGTCGACAGGTAAAACTGATGATTCAACTACTTTAACATTATCACTAACGAGAACGAGGTCGATCAATGTACTAGTGTTTACAGTTACACGTGTAGGCTCGGTAATTACATTGCTGAGATTAAAAAGCATGACAATATCGTGGAGTTTACTATTCGTTACAGTGAGACAATCAACATCAATATCTCCATGTATAACTTCATCAGTGCTGATAGACAATGCACTATCAATAGAATTTTGAAAATAATCCCAAAATCTAACACTTGATATGCCCGGGGGAGATAAACTGTACATAATAATATAGTCGTCTGTTCTGTTATTAGTTCTAACCATATAACTTCACCAATGTTAAATTCCACATATCGCCTTCTATTGAAGTGTATTTCATTAGATACATAGACCATGACGCCGCCTCCGTAGCGGTTTCTGTCAAGTCGTATAGGTCCATAAAACCCTTCTTTAGTTTTTGAATTTTCATAATTAGTGTCTAGATGAGTTTCAGTAATAGATATTACTTGATATTCATGGGCTAAGCATTCCATATAAGATATTTTTTTGCGAACACTTCTGCTATTTAAATGAAACAATGATATCTCCCTGTTACCTTCCGGACCTGGATTCGTTTCAATATCATTACAAAGAAAGAGTATAAGAAGAAGAATAAGTACTATATTAGTGCTAGGCACTATCGACTGGAGTGTTAGAAGGACATAAGTCAAGATGTAAGCCTTCATTATAGCAGACAATAAAAACTCTATGCTAAGCAATGAAAAGTAATTATGATTATTATACAATTTTTTTGAGTATGTTTGAACAGAATAGCATTTTATATAGTGTAGCCCTATTGCCGCCCTATACATAGATATATCAATGAACATCAAGGTACACAACAAACCACGACATTGGGCGGCAAATACTATTGACTACCAGTACATATATAGTAATCAGACATGCTTGGGCACACATAGTGAAACTGTAATGAAAAAAGACAACATAACAAAAAAGAAGGAATATACAAAGACATTCAACTTAATTGATAAGTTAACACACGAGGAGATTTACAGTAATGACAAATTAATCTTACTGACGATCTGGTCCACAGAGGAGATATACTGTAATCATAAATTAATCTTACTGAAGATCTGGTCCACAGATGAGATATAGAGTAATGATGAATTAATCTTACTGACGATCAGGTCCACAGAGGAGATATACTGGAATGATAAATTAATCTTCCTGACAATCTGGTCCGCAGAGGAGATATACTGGAATGATAAATTAATCTTAATGACAATCTGGTCCACGGAGGAGATATACTGTAATCATAAATTAATCTTACTGAAGATCTGGTCCACAGAGGCGATATAGAGTAATGATAAATTAATCTTACTGACGATCTGGTCCATAGAGCCATACTGAATAATGACGCGGTATGCTATATATACTCTTACCATATTGAATAATGACACAGCATACATATTTGTATACTGATACCATACTGAATGCTGACACGTTATACATACTGTTACCTTACTGAATTATGACACGGTATGCATACTGTTACCATACTAAATGATTACACTGTATACATATTGTTACCATACTG